GAATGGGTCCTTCATTCATGTCTTTAAGCTACCTCTTTCTTTCAAAGACGTGGCTTCCATTTTTTTTTCTTTAGGGTAGGGGGTGGGGGTGGGGATTCCCAAATTGTAGCAGGAAAAGGTTTTATGTCCACTTGTTTTTGCTAACTCATGCAAACCAATCCACTTTTAACTCTACCTAAAACGATATCATCTCATTTATTTTCATGTAAAATTGTTGTACTTATTTGAAATTCATCTAATAACAAAAAAAGGGAGCCTGGTAACATGTTCGAGCTGGAATCAGTCATTAATGTTTGTATCAGAATATATTGCCTATATTACAGCCTCTTGGGATGTGACTCTTTCCCCGATCATATATAAACGCGGAATACTTTGTGCATTGAACTGTCCTTGTTTATTGTAACAAAAATAAAGAAAGTTTCTAAGAAAAAGACAAGATCCCACAATGTTAATCAATTATTGTGTCACAGTTTGAATTCTCATTAGGAGAGGAGACCAAAGTAATAGGAGTAACAATTATAGCTACTGAATCAAACAGTTTACCGGTGTGATTTGAGTAATGACTTCTTAACCATCAAGAATCCAAATAGGAACCAACACTCACTCAGTTTAATAGTCAAACATTTGAATAAAAAAAAATTGAAATTATATTTTTGAAGGTACGGTCCGGCTTCCAAGTTCTAACCAATAAAACTTGTTATAGCTACTGAATCAAATAATAAAACACTAATAAGTAAACAGTTTGTTTGAAATATCGGCTCAATGGTTCTTTAAGGTCAAACAGTAGCTGCAACAATAATTTTCTCCAATTGTAATACAAAGTTTTTAAGGACGAGGGGTATTTGGCGGTTTTGGTCGGCGCAGCTACTCTGGGTTCTCATTTCTAAAATCTTGGGGCTCATAAAAAAATGAGATAATTATTATAAATTATTTCATTAAGTTGCATTAATTATTAATTAGTTTCATTAAATGATGATTCGTGCAGTATTTTGGGTGATCCCTCTTAGTTTCTCTTGCTAATAAAATTAATAGCTAGTCATAGTCATTAATCACAATTTTAAAATGAACTGTTATTGGGCAAAAAGTCCCTAATGAACTGGTCTGAATTAAAGTTTAAGGTATCTGCAATAGCTTTTCTCCTATTATCGAGCTTTCTAGACCACAAACAAATTTTGACTAGGCCATTCAAACTATTATTCGAATGACAATGTTACGAGTTTGAATCTTTTGTAGAGCTAGATTTTTTCATATTTCAATAATATATAGTATTATATAACATCTCAAAGTACTGTATAAATAAATATTATTTAACAAATAAATGAAAGGTTTGATAATTGATAAAAATAAAATAAATGCCCAAGCCCCAAAGCAAGTTAGATAGGAAATATTATATTAAGAAACTCGAACTGCCAATTTCTTAAAGATAGAAAGAAAGAGTCTTTGAATGGTTTATGTGATGTCACAAACAGCAATTGAAAATTCATAATTCAATTTATATTCTTAAAAGCAAGTTGGTAATAGCAATTATGTACCCTTCACTTTCAGTATATGGTGGTCGGTTAATAAAACCTTTAGAAAATAGTGACCTTTAAAGCACTGTACATGATGTCTTATTTAAAAGTAGATGAAGAGAGCATTTCTTTACAAAAGCAACCCTCCCACTTGACTTTCATATTAGAAGTGGACAAACGTATTATTTTTCCATTCACTTTTATTTGTTAACTATTCTAAAAATACATTTTCACTTTTATTTATCACTTTTAGCATATCAAGATAAGATTAAATTTTTTTTTCTGTTATACTCACAGTATTAATTACTAAATTCAAATCATTTCTCAAATCCATTAAAAATATGCATCAATTAATATGGGTATCATAAAAAATTATGCACTTTATTTATTATTTCTTAAGGGATATGCAAAGTCTATAATGACCAAGTAAAAGTGAACGGAGGGAAACGTTCTTTTCTTAAATTTAGAAATTAAAAGAAGATAGAGATTTTGATTTGTTTGTGTTTGTGAGAGAGAACGTTAAATTGGATCTTCTTCCCAAATAATGTATCACAAGTTTCGAGATATTTCTATGGAGATGAATGGCCGGCATATTTTCTAAATGAAAAAAATGGACTGATTTCCCAAAATACTTGGGATCTTTACCTAAGTAATCGGCGGGATTCATGATTAACTTTTTAAAGCCGGTATATATAGATTATATAATAGTTATATAAAGTTATAACTTACACATAAATTATGCATGAATTACTACTATATTATAAATTCGTTTGCTATTTAGCTAGAGTCTTCAAATAATAAAACTTAGCACCATTTGGTTTACTTTTTTGCCACAGGCCAAGGCTAGTCGAATTTTTTATTCTTTATCCTTTGTTCTACTTCTTCTTTTTATTTTATAAGGGATTGTGTGGTTATAACTAATATCAATCTAGATACTAAATTCCGCATGAATAATTGGATATGTAGTTGTCTGGTTTTCTTTAAAATTAAAAGCCTCCGCATTAGTTATGTTTGTATACGGTCTTATATGGTTAATCGAGACCAGGGTGACGGACCGAGGTTCAATCCCAAATTATATTGGATCGTTACATGAATAAATAGTGCCTAGCTCGTGATTCAGGGATCGATCGAGATCGAGACCAGCTAAGGTCGAGACCGAGAAGGATAGAGATCTAGCGAGATCGAAGGAAGCCTGCTAAGTCGAATAACGGGAAGCCGATAAATCCGTAACCGGGCGAGGATTGTGGCGGAGATCTCGGCATGTATCAAGTCAAGACCGATTGAGTAGCCAATCAGGAGATTTCCTTATGTATTTAGAATTGTACCATATGTAGAACTTCTCTACTATATAAAGGGGGTTCCGATCATTTTGTAAAAGGGACATTCCACGCATAACAAAGCAATATATTGCGTTTTCTCTCTTAAACTCTCTTATTCAATAGTTCAGTTCTTACTCTTCAATAACACACTTAGTTGGTACGAGGGCAACCTAGCTCAAGGGCCAAAGTTGCATGATAAATCGATTTGCTTTATTTTACAGTTAATTTCTAACTCCAATTCTCATATTTCTCAGTTTATATGCCAAGTGAAATCACATATCCTTAAAACCACTAACAAATTTAATTGTTATCCGATTTTAAGGGTAAACAGTTTGGCGCCCACCGTAGGGCTAAGGATAATAGTGATTGCCTGGTGCTAATTTTCATAACACACACTGCTTTACACTTATTTTTGTAAGCATTTTTGATTCCAGGATCAGCATGTCGAACTCTCAAGCAGTACCCACACACATCGACAATGGCCTTGGATTTCATGGCGAAAACGACAATGTAGCCGCCCCCGGGAACAAAATGCCTCCAGTTGACCTTGAGGGAGTACCAGTTGCAGACCCCATCGACGTCAGTTCCCATGTTGCCCTAAATGTAAATTTGGGCACCGACCCCGAAAATAGTGTCCGCAAAGACGTTCGATCAGCCGGTCAGAACGCACAGAGCGGCGAAGAAGGCAGAATCAGCCTTCGAATAATATTCAAAATATTGCAGGCTCAACAGGCTGCAATAGCACAACTCCAAAATCACAACCATGCATCGAGTAGGGTCGAACCCGAGCCATCACAGGAAGTTGTTCATAGGGCCGAACCAGTGCCGGGGAGATCAAATGTGAATGAGTCAAGAACCGACCCT